GGCCCCCTCCCCAATTTCAGGGACCACAGCAACCCCCCCAAGCTTCTCCTGCTCCCCTTTTTTGGGTGGATTTGAAGCCCCCCAGCTTCTCCTACCCCCTCCCACCACGACAAGAGCAGGGGGTCTCTTTTTGAGGGGGGGTCCTGGGGGGGTTTTGGGGGGCGCAGAGACGGCGGCGATTCCATGGATTTACCTACGGAAAAGGCTCTTGATCTTATCCCACACAGAACTAACTTTATCCGCCAGACTGGGGGTGGGGGGCACCAAAACAGAAACACAGAGAGTCAGCGCGGCCCCCCCGGCCCGCGGGGACCCCCCCTCAGCTCGGGGGGCGACCCCCGACCCCCTCTGTGCTTTGGGGGACACCCCCCTCCCCCCCCGAGCGCTCCCGCTGCAACCAACGGCCTGGGGGGGGCTTGGGGGCTTCTCTGGGGGGGTTTAATGATTTTTTTTGGGGGGGTTTTGAGGGATTTTAAGGGGTTTTTTTGAGGGTTCTTCAATGTTTTTTTGGGGGGTACTTCGAGGATTTTTTGAGGCTTTTTAAAGGTTTTTTTGAGAGGTCTTTAAGGGTTTTTTGGGGGGTGTTTTAAGGGCTTTTTTGGAGGGTTTGCTAAGGGATTTTGAGGATTTTTTAATGTGTTTTTGGGGGCATTTTGAGAATTTCTGAGGGTTTTTCGCAGGGGTTGAAGGTTTTTTTAAGGTTCTTGAGAATTTTTAAGGGTTTTTTTAGATTGTATTTTGAAAGTTTTTCATGAGATTTTGAGAGTTCTTTGAAACTTTTCTAAGGGTTTTTGGGGGGTTTTGAGGGTTTTGTGAAGGTTTTTTTTGAAGGGTTTTGTGAAGGTTTTTGAGGGTTTTGTGATGGTTTTTGAAGGTTTTTGTGAAGGTTTTTGAGGGTTTTTTTGAAGGTTTTTGAGGGTTTTTTGAAGGTTTTTAAGGGTTTTGTGAAGGTTTTTGAGGAGTTTTTGAAGGTTTTTGAGGGTTTTGTGAAGATTTTTGAAGGGTTTTGTGAAGGTTTTTGAAGGATTTTTTTGGAGGTTTTTGAGGGTTTTGTGAAGGTTTTTGAAAGGTTTTGTGAAGGTTTTTGAGGGTTTTTTGAAGGTTTTTAAGGGTTTTGTGAAGGTTTTTGAGGGTTTTGTGAAGGTTTTTGAGGAGTCTTTGAAGGTTTTTAAGGGTTTTGTGAAGGTTTTTGAGGGTTTTTGTGAAGGTTTTTGAGGGTTTTTTGAAGGTTTTTGAGGGTTTTGTGAAGGTTTTTGAGGGTTTTGTGACGGTTTTTGAAGGGTTTTTTGAAGGTTTTTGAGGGTTTTGTGAAGGTTTTTGAAGGTTATGAAAGTTTCTGAAGGTTTTTCTGAGGGTATTTTGGGGTTTTTGGTCACTCACGAGTCCCGGCGGCGCCGCTGGTGCTCGAAGACGAGGAGGCCGCGGGCGTTGACGCTGCAGAGCAGCTCGCGGTGCCGCAGCAGGTCCAGGCGGAACGGCCGCTCTGTCACCAGCAGCCGGTGGCCCCCGGGGCCCAGGGACAGCTCCAGCGTGCCCTCGTCACGGCCTGTCACCTCCAGCCTGGGGACAGCGGGGTTTGAGGAGTGTCACCATCCCAGAGTACCCCAGAGCTGTGACAGCCACCCCAGGACAGCTCCAGTGCCCTCATCACAGCCTGGGGACACCTGAGGGGTGTCACCATCCCAGGGCACCTCAAAGGGCGGTGACTGCCACCCGAGGACAGCTCCAGTGCCCTTGTCACAGCCTGGGGACAGCGGGGTTTGAGGAGTGTCACCATCCCAGAGTACCCCAGAGCTGTGACAGCCACCCTGGGACAGCTCCAGTGCCCTCGTCACGGCCTGTCACCTCCAGCCTGGGGACAGCGGGGTTTGAGGGGTGTCACCATCCCAGAGTACTCCAGAGCTGTGACTGCCACCCTGGGACAGCTCCAGGGTGCCCTTGTCACAGCCTGGGGACACCTGAGGGGTGTCACCATCCCAGGGCACCCCAGAGCACTGTGACAGCCACCCCGGGACAGCTCCAGTGCCCTTGTCACAGCCTGGGGACAGCGGGGTTTGGGGGGTGTCACCATCCCAGGGCACCCCAGAGCACTGTGACAGCCACCCCGGGACAGCTCCAGTGCCCTTGTCACAGCCTGGGGACAGCGGGGATTGGGGGGTGTCACCATCCCAGAGCACCCCAGAGCACTGTGACAGCCACCCCGGGACAGCTCCAGTGCCCTTGTCACATCCTGGGGACACCTGAGGGGTGTCATCATCCCAGGGCGCCCCAAAGTGCTGTGACAGCCACCCCAGGACAGCTCCAGGGGGCCCTCGTCACAGCCTGGGGACAGTGGCCATCAGGGGGTGGCAGTGTCCCTATCTCTGTGTCTGCTGTCCCCCTGTCCCCTCACCTCTCAGCGGGTGGCAGTGTCCCCGTGTCCCCTGTCCCCTCAGTGGGTGGCAGTGTCCCCTGTCCCCTCACCTCTCAGCGGGTGGCAGTGTCCCCTGTCCCCTCACCTCTCAGCGGGGGGCTCTCCCAGCAGCACGTCGGGCACCTGGTAGCGGGGTCGCAGCGGGGCCAGCTCCTGGATGCGCAGGCGAGTCACGTTCCCGGTGAGCCCCCACACCTCCAGCAGCAGCGGCACCTGTGGGGGGACATGGGGACAGTGACACCTGCACTGGGAACATGGGGACAGTGACACCTGCACTGGGAACAGGGACACCTGCACTGGGGACAGTGACACCTGCACTGGGGACAGGGACACCTGGGGCAGGGGACAGGGACACCCGCACTGGGGACAGGGGGACAGGGACACCTGCACTGGGGACATGGGGACAGTGACACCTGCACTGGGGACAGGGACACCTGGGGCAGGGGACAGGGACACCCGCACTGGGGACAGGGGGACAGTGACACCTGCACTGGGGACAGGGACACCTGGGGCAGGGGACAGGGACACCTGCACTGGGGACATGGGGACAGTGACACCTGGGGCAGGGGACAGCGGCACCTGGGGGCCCCCACACCTCCAGCAGCAGTGTCACCTGCAGAGAGGGACCCCCATGTCCCCTGCTGTCCCCTCACCTGAGTGGCCTCGTTGACCAGCTGGATCCTGTCCCCCTGTGACCCCCAGTGTCCTCAGTGTCCCCAGTGTCCCCTCACCTGGGTGACCCCTGTGACCCCCAGTGTCCCCAGTGTCCCCAGTGTCCCCTCACCTGGGTGACCCCTGTGACCCCCAGTGTCCCCAGTGTCCCCAGTGTCCCCTCACCTGCGTGGCCCCTGTGACCCCCCCAGTGTCCCCAGTGTCCCCAGTGTCCCCTCACCTGCGTGGCCTCGTTGACCAGCTGGATCCTGGCCACGTCGGGGCCGAGCTCCAGGGAGCCCAGCAGTGCCCGGTACGGGGAGCTCCCGGGCTGGATCCGCCGCTGCCGCCTGGGGGGGACACGGGGGGGTCCCATGGGGGGGTGGGGGGGGGTCGGGCTCCTGGCGCGCGCTCACCGCCCCAGCGCCGCCGCCATCTTGGATCCGGCCTGACCCTTGACCCCGCCCCCGGCCCGACGCCGCCGCCTCCCATTGGCTGTGAGGAGTCCCGCCCTCCACCCCGCCCCGGACCCGCCCTCTCGCTATGTTCCCGCCTTACCTGGTTGCCGGGGAGACGGAAGCTCCGCCCTCCTCGTGTTGTGATTCGCGTACGAGGCTTGAGCGATGGCAGCGCGACCCAATCAGAGCGCGACTCGGAAAACAGGCAGGAACGCACGGTGAGGGCAGGACGGAAATCCAATGAAAGCGCGGGAATGCTGAGTGACACACTCTCGAGCCCAATCAGAATGCTGCATTCAGCTGTATCCCCGCCCCTAGGGCTTCCGTAGCAACGCCCCGCCTCCTCGCTCATGGCAACCACCGCCCTGGCGACCGCGGCCCGTCCTTTTCCCAAGAGCCAATCAACAGCGCGCATTTCTGAGTGACGGCAATCGCGACCAATCAACAAACACCTCTGACCCTTCTCTGCCCGGTCATACTGAGTGACAGGTTGATTAACCAATGAGAGCGGAGCAGCGGGCACGCCGGGGCCGCCAATCAGCGCGGGGAGGCGGGGCGTGGGCAGGCCGCGGCTTTGTGGTGAGCGGGGCCGGGGGCGCTGGGGGGGAACTGGGACGAACTGGGATAAACTGGGACCAACCGGGACCAACCGGGACCAACCGGGACCAACTGGGGCCAACTGGGGCCAACTGGCCTGGACTGGGGCCGAGCGGGACTCGCGGGGCCACGCTGGGATTGGCTGGGACCCGATGGGTGACAGGGCCGAGCTGGGATTGGCTGAGCTGGGCCCACTGGGACGGACTGGGACGGACTGGGATGGACTGGGATGGACTGGGACGGACTGGGACGGACTGGAATGGACTGGGATGGACTGGGACGGACTGGAATGGACTGGGATGGACTGGGACGGACTGGAATGGACTGGGATGGACTGGGACGGACTGGAATGGACTGGGATGGACTGGGACGGACTGGGATGGACTGGGATGGACTGGGACGGACTGGGATGGACTGGGATGGACCGGGACCGCCCGGCTGGGCCGTTCCTGCCTGAGTGTGCCCTCCACCCCCCGAACCCCAAAGCGCTCCTTTCCCCCTCCCCAGTCCCATCGCCCGCACCCCACGGAGCTCCCTGGGCTCTGATCCCATTTTTTTCCCGATTTCCCCCCATTTTTCACCCCCCTGCAGCTCCCCGAGCGCTAATTGCCCATTTTTCCCCATTTCCCCCCTCAGCCCGATGGAGTTCCCGGAGCACTAATTCCCCATTTCCCCCCGTTTTTCCCCATTTTCCCCCCAGCCCGATGGATTTCCCAGAGCACTAATTCCCCATTTTCCCCCGTTTTTCCCCCATTCCTTTAACCCCGTGGAGTTCCTGGAGCACTAATTGCCCATTTCCCCCCGTTTTTCCCCATTTTCCCCCAGCCCGATGGAGTTCCCGGGGGACTGATTCCCCATTTCCCCCCGGGTTTTTCCCCATTTTTCCCCCAGCCCGATGGATTTCCCGGAACACTAATTCCCCATTTTTCCCCCCGTTTTTCCCCCAGCCCGATGGAGTTCCCGGAGCACTGATTCCCCATTTCCCCCCGGTTTTTTCCCCATTTTTCCCCAGCCCGATGAAGTTCCCCGAGCACTAATTCCCCATTTTTCCCCGTTTTTCCCCATTTTCCCCCAGCCCGATGCAGTTCCCCGAGCACTAATTCCCCATTTTTCCCCGTTTTTCCCCATTTTCCCCCAGCCCGATGCAGTTCCCCGAGCACTAATTCCCCATTTTTCCCCGTTTTTCCCCATTTTCCCCCAGCCCGATGGAGTTCCCGGGGCACTAATTCCCCATTTTTCCCCGTTTTTCCCCCAGCTTCATGGAGTTCCCCGAGCACTCATTCCCCATTTCCCCCTGTTTTTCCCCCAGCCCGATGGAGTTCCCGGAGCACTAATTCCCCATTTCCCCCCGTTTTTCCCCCATTCCTTTAACCCCGTGGAGTTCCTGGAGCACTAATTGCCCATTTCCCCCCATTTTTCCCCATTTTCCCCCAGCCCGATGGAGTTCCCGGAGCACTCATTCCCCATTTTTCCCCCCGTTTTTCCCCATTTTCCCCAGCCCGATGGAATTCCCGGAGCACTAATTCCCCATTTTTCACCCCGTTTTTCCCCATTTCCCCCCAGCCCTATGGATTTCCCGGAGCACTAATTCCCCATTTCCCCCCGTTTTTCCCCCAGCCCGATGGAGTTCCCGGAGCACTAATTCCCCATTTTTCCCCGTTTTTCCCCCAGCTTCATGGAGTTCCCCGAGCACTCATTCCCCATTTCCCCCTGTTTTTCCCCCAGCCCAATGGAGTTCCCGGAGCACTAATTCCCCATTTTTCCCCGTTTTTCCCCCAGCTTCATGGAGTTCCCCGAGCACTCATTCCCCATTTCCCCCTGTTTTTCCCCCAGCCCGATGGAGTTCCCGGAGCACTAATTCCCCATTTTTCCCCGTTTTTCCCCCAGCTTCATGGAGTTCCCCGAGCACTCATTCCCCATTTCCCCCTGTTTTTCCCCCAGCCCGATGGAGTTCCCGGAGCACTAATTCCCCATTTTTCCCCGTTTTTCCCCCAGCTTCATGGAGTTCCCCGAGCACTCATTCCCCATTTCCCCCTGTTTTTCCCCCAGCCCGATGGAGTTCCCGGAGCACTAATTCCCCATTTTTCCCCGTTTTTCCCCCAGCTTCATGGAGTTCCCCGAGCACTCATTCCCCATTTCCCCCTGTTTTTCCCCCAGCCCGATGGAGTTCCCGGAGCACTAATTCCCCATTTTTCCCCGTTTTTCCCCCAGCTTCATGGAGTTCCCCGAGCACTCATTCCCCATTTCCCCCTGTTTTTCCCCCAGCCCGATGGAGTTCCCGGAGCACTAATTCCCCATTTTTCCCCGTTTTTCCCCCAGCTTCATGGAGTTCCCCGAGCACTCATTCCCCATTTCCCCCTGTTTTTCCCCCAGCCCGATGGAGTTCCCGGAGCACTAATTCCCCATTTTTCCCCGTTTTTCCCCCAGCTTCATGGAGTTCCCCGAGCACTCATTCCCCATTTCCCCCTGTTTTTCCCCCAGCCCGATGGAGTTCCCGGAGCACTAATTCCCCATTTTTCCCCGTTTTTCCCCCAGCTTCATGGAGTTCCCCGAGCACTCATTCCCCATTTCCCCCTGTTTTTCCCCCAGCCCAATGGAGTTCCCGGAGCACTAATTCCCCATTTCCCCCCGTGTTTCCCCCAGCCCGATGGAGTTCCCGGAGCACAGCCGGCAGCTGCTGCGGGGGCTGCGGGAGCAGCGCTCCCGGGGGATCCTGTGCGACTGCACGGTGCTGGTGGGCACCGCGCCCTTCCCCGCGCACCGCGCCGTGCTGGCCGCCTGCAGCTCCTTCTTCCACCTGTGCTACGCCGAGCCGGGCGGCGCCGGCGGGGCGAGGGGCGCCGTGGTGGCCCTGAACAGCGACATCGTCACGGCTCCGGCCTTCGCGCTGCTGCTCGAGTTCATGTACGAGGGGCGGCTGGCGCTGGCGGCGCCGCTGGAGGACGTGCTGGCCGCCGCCAGCTACCTGCACATGAACGACGTGGTCAAGCTGTGCAAGAAGAAGCTGCAGGCGAGGGGCCCGGCCGAGGCCGACAGCACCAAGCGGGAGGAAGAGGAGGAGGAGGAGGACGCCCCCAGCCCGCCCCCGCCGCAGCCCCCTACCTGCACATGAACGACGTGGTCAAGCTGTGCAAGAAGAAGCTGCAGGCGAGGGGCCCGGCCGAGGCCGACAGCACCAAGCGGGAGGAAGAGGAGGAGGAGGAGGACGCCCCCAGCCCGCCCCCG